TGTGATGAGGAGGATGATTGAGATGAAGATGTCATCTTCTAAAAAGGGAATACATCCTCATGAAATATAACGTCCATGCTTATAAAGAAATACCCTATAGAGATCTCCATAACTCGGTATCCCTTTTGAAGAGGAGGATATCCCATGAAAATACAATGAGTGGCACGGGGATCCATTTTATCTTGAGGGCCCACAGTCGTTGCCTAACTTAAACAGTCAAATACTTTAACATGATTAATGTCGGGCTATTTTCCATAAAGCATTTCAAAAGGAGTCCGACCTTTGAGAATTCAAGTCGGCATGCGATCAACCAAATAGGCTGCCGTGACCACACAATCTCCCCAAAGATTTTCCGGAATGGAAGTTTGGTATTTTAATGCTCGAGCTACTTCCAAGAGATGTCTATGTTTGCGCTCAACAATTCCATTTTGTTATGGAGTATAAGTGCAAAAACTTTCGTGAAGTATCCCATGAGAAGATAGAAATGATATGCAATCAGAAGTAAAGAACTCGCAACCATTGTCTGTACGAATTCTTTGGACAGATTTATCGAATTGATTTTTAATCATAGAAAGGAAACTCGACAAATGAGAAAAAGTTTGGCTTTTTGATTGCATAAGGAATACCCAAGTGGCGCAGGTATAGTCATCCACAATTGTGAGGAAAAAACGGGATCCGTCATGATGATGGGTATGATAAGGTCTCCAAATGTCCATATGGAGTAATGAAAAAGCACTATTAGCTCAAGCTGTACTGATTGGAAAAGATACTCGAAACTGTTTAGCTAGAGGATATATTGGACATTTTGGATGGGGAAAACGCACACTATGACCCAAACGTTTATGAAAAAGGAGATTTTTATTACTGGTGATAACATTACAAGAAATGCTCTTATTGAATGAATCTAAATCTCCTGGGGAATCAATCCAGAAATACAATCCTTGTGCAACATTACTCAAGCCTATCAGTTTGCTAGTCAAATGGTCCTGAAAGAAGCAATTTTCGGAATTGAATATGGCACGACAAGAATTATCCTAGTAAACTTTTGAGACAGAAAGAAAATTGAATTCAAAGTCAAGAATGTATAGGACATTTTTTAGGATAAAGTTTGGACCAAGATGAATAGTGCCAATTTTAGTAACATAGGCGATAGTCCCGTTTGGAAGACGTACTGACACGGAAGATGTAGGCCTTTATGAACATGGGAAAATAAATGCTCATTGCAAATTATGTGGTCACTGCCCTTGAATCGATTATCTGTGCGTCAACTGAAATTGAATTTGCCTTGTAAATAAAAGTACCTGAGAAACTTGCATTCTTGTCATTGGTCTTCAATTGACTTAGCATTTTCATAATATTTTGGTACTGTTCTTGAGTAATTATTTCACATTCCCTATTAAATTTTTGTGCAGAAACTTGGTAAGCAGAAAATTCTTTCTCTTTTCTCTCTTTATCATTTGGTTTCCCATGTAGTTTCCAGCACGTATCAATAGTATGGTGCAGGCGCTTGCAATACTCACAATATTTATTTTAGAATTTTGAGTTTTGCCTACTAACCTTTTTTGATGACATGGCACTTCGTCGGCCGTATGATCCCTTATAAGCCGGCGCCATCGTTGCCTGATGATAGCTGTTAGATTCAGCTGAGTTGATGGTTGAATAAGAGCCGTCCAATCCCCGCGTTGATCATAGCCGTCCGTGTGAGAAACCATAGGGTTTCCTTCATTTTCTTTGAATGCAGCAACCACTCTTCGGGTTCCCAAGCTCCCGAGAGCTCCGTGACTTCCAGTGAGAGCTCTGTTCATCGATTTGGCTGGAGGGAAGCCAAGTGACAAAGCGGCGAGGGCGACGCTTTCACTCACCCGTGCACGCTCGGCCGTGGCTATCTAGTGGCTCTCCTCTTGGATGACCAACTGGTAGATCCTGCCGAGCGGCGGCGCTAGTTCCATCGCAAGGATTTGCAACCTAAAATGTGAGTAATTTTGATTCAGAATCAATAGGAATCTTGTAGCCTTCTCCCTTTCTAGCATTGATTTATATTGCCGGAGCATTTCGTCGGGCTCTTCAAGCTTTTCCTCGACTACCTCGAGCTCGTTCCATAGAGCCGAGAGTCGGTTGAAGCAAGTGGTAACTGGTAGGTACCCTTGCTTCAACTCCGACAAGGCCTGGGTGAGCGAGAAGATTTTTGCCCGGTCAAGTTTTCCGTACATTTCACGGATATTATCCCATATTGTCTTTGAGTCTTCGGTCGGCGGGAGTCCGACGGCGACCTCAGGAGCCAAATAGTTCCCGATCCACGTCCACACGAGCTGATTGCATTTGTGCCAGTGACTTTGCAAGCGGTCGTCAGACGGGAAGGGTACGGTTCCGTCGAGGAACCCATATTTGTCCTTGGTAACTAAGGCCCGCCAGAAATCCCGATCCAAGGTATTGTAGTTTTCTGGTCCGGCTAGCTGCAAGCTGATGAGGCACAACTCTAGGCCGTCCCCTGGCGACGTGTAGAGGGGGTTGCCGGGCTCTGGACGGCCACCGATGGTTACGACTGCATAGGGCATGAATCTGGGTCCTACTGTCGGGTAGGGATTTGTCTCTAGATCCGGTGGAATGGATCCGAGTCTAGGGCCTGGACCTGTCCAGCCCATTCCTGTGTTGGAAGAAGTTGGCACACCTTCAGTGCACCGAGCTCCAAGATTCAGGAGTGCTTCTTCTCTAGATGTGCCGTATTGGGCCCATGATTGATTTTACACGACGGCCCATAGGCCTTGTGCTGGAAACCAGAGGACCGGTGGCCATTGGACTGGGCCAGAAACGTGTACTAGAGCAAGAGTAGGATCTTCGGCTGTGGATCGCTGATCTTCAGTTTGATCAACGTGATCCGAGACTGTGTTATGAGGTGAGTTTGGAGTTTCCTCCGTTGAAGATTTTTCTCCAGTAGCTGTATTATTGTCTTTGGCTGGGGTATCTCTAAATCGAAATCCTATTTGGATGTATTTTGCTTGGGTTTGATTTGTAATGACAAATCGGAAGAAAAGACTTGCTCTGATACCATGAAAGAAATCGAAAAGAATTGGAGAAAATTATATTGTATTGATATGATTTGTGTACAAGTACATTGACCGATTTATAATGTAAAAAATGAGAAAAAAAACAGGAAATAATATACAAGGATTACAATTTCCTATTTACCAAATCAATCACGGATCCTCTGGAACAATCAGTCCGTACTCGAGATCGATGACAAAATCAGATAATCAGAACCATATCTTCAACAATATCAAATCGTATCTCCAACATAATGTTTGCATACTCTGTAATGCTGCTGTCAAATCTAGGGACCACTTGCTTTTTAACTTCACTTTGATAAGCAAGATTAGTGGACATCAAAACTCGGCGACTGGATAAACCGATGCAAGTAACAAACGCGATTACGACACGCGCCTGCAAATTGCCGGTCTTTTTCCAACTTCACGTGAGGCTCAACCTCGCGAGTGACCGCCATGACATCGGACAGCGACCCTTCGATCGCTGATGGGATACGGAACTTCCGTCCGGCAAACACAGAGTAGGCAAGGCGGAGAGCCGAAGCTTGAAATGGTCCACGAGTTATCGGATGCATCAGAGGGCGGAACTTGTTGCATCGAAGGTGTATGTCGTAATGCCGGACCGAGCACGGCACGAGGATAAGGCTTACCCAATGTCTTAAAAGCCGGACATTCTTGTCCCACTCGAGGAATTTTTTTTTTTTAATATTTGATGAAGCCTGCAAGATTAGGATAACAAAGATCAATGGACTGTTTCTTGGAAAATCAAGATGAGGACTTGGGAAAAAAAAATTCAATAATATATCTTTTCTTCCCAATTTTGGACCGGATTCTACCGAGCAAAAAACTATTTGCTAGACCCGACAACCAAAAAAACAATAGGGAAAATGACACAAATGGTCCATTAACTTTTAATTTGTTCAATGTAATCCTTGAACTGTAGCTTAATGTGCAATGTGCTTCATGAACTTTCAATTTGTTCAATGTGGTCAATGAACGTTTAATTTATTCAATGTGATTTATAAACTGTAATCCAATATACAATATGATCCCTGAACTTTTAATTTGTTCAATGTGGTCTATATACTTTTGTTTTATGTTCAATGTTGCCCCTGAATTTGAATTAATGGAATGGCAATATTGATCATTTTCTTATAGTTCAAGGACTAAGTTGAATACGTACCAAAAGTTTAGGGATCACATTAAACAAATTGAAAATTTCAGGGACTACATTATACATTGAACTAAAGTTTATAGACCACATTAAACAAATTGAAATTTCATGAACCACATTGGGTGTTGGGTAAAATTCGGAAATCATTTGTGTCATTATCCCAAAAAAATTCAAATATTTTTCTATTCATTTCGTCCGTGATCTATTAAAATTTCAAGTATTAAATATGTTCCCACTTCCAATTTAACTAAGATTGAATCTTTTCCCATGCGCAAAGGGCATTTTTTCCTTTTGCCCTTTGGTAAGAAACTAAATGTTCATCTTCTTATTTACGCACTTTCGGTTTTGGTCCGATCTCCCTCTTTTACCATTCCGGATTTTCGTGGCCATGTCGTCGGGGATTAGAATGGAAAACGATGTCTATACACACAATCTCCACATTCACTTGGTTCCGGTCATGTGATTAATTGTGAAGAATTCGCGCCGAACCAAATTGATTTTTTTTTTCGAGTTTATAGAATCTCCATTCCAATTTGAGCTCGGCATGTTCCGGGATGGAATCGAATCGAATCAACTCGAGTTGCTTCATTGTATGCACAAAGAAGAAACTAAAGGAAAAAAAATTCCAATTCCAATTCCAATTCCAAATTCCTCTTTACATGAAATAGCCCCCCATTTCCCAACATCTAGAGAAACCAAAGGTAAAAAAATTGGAAAAAAGAAAATCATTATTTGCATTTTCCAGGAAACTAAAAAAAAGAAAAAAAAAAGAGAGAGAAGAAAAATCAAAACGCGGTGTCTCCAAAATCTACAACGACGTCGGAGCTCCGGCTCCTCCGCCTGACGCTGTCCCTCTCCCCGCCGGCGCCGGCGCCGACGTCCCACTCCCTCTCCTCCTCCTCGATCCTCCCCATCCCGACGCTGCAGCTCTTCGGCATCACCCTCACCCCCGACCGGCTCCTCCTGATCTGCCGCACGACGGCGTCGAGGTCCTCCGCGCGGTACCCCAGGGTCCGGGCGGAGGCGGCCCGGACCAGCTCCCTGAAGTCGTCGTCGACGCCGTCGCCGTCCCGCCCGCCGCCGTCGGAGCGGGACGAGCAGGCGCTGAAGCTCCGGGGGAGGGGGGCGTGCTGGCCGCCCGGGCAGGCGACGTAGCCGTGGCCGACGGCGGAGGCGCAGCTGAGGAGGCTGCGGACGTAGAGGTCGCGGGCGCGGGACAGGGCCCGGAGGGGCGCCGCGAGCAGGTGGCGGAGCGGGGAGGCCTTCCGGCGGGCTTGGGCGGTGGCGGTGGCGGCGGCGGCGGCGGCGGCGGAGGCGACGCGTCTCATCGTCGGGCGGCGATGCGGAGTTACTGTTGGTTGGTGGGTTTGGTTTTGAGAGTGGGGAGGAGATGGAGCTTGTTGTTGTTGTCGTCGCAGGCAATTTATAAAATGGAGACGAAGCGTGGAGAGAGAAAGAGTTTAACGATTCGAGAGTGAAGTTTCTTTTTTTTTCTTGGTTTTTTTGTACGGACGGTCGCTCGGCGAACCGTAGAAATTCGATGGTTTTTCTACCTAAATTAGAAGGGATCGGCCAACAACAAAAAAAAAAAAAAAGGGATCGGCCGGTTCGGGTTCCAGGCCGGTTTTCGATTTCGAAGAGGACCCGGTTTCGGGTCCTCTCGAACCCCCGTCCTCGGGTTGTTTTCCTCGATTCCTGGACTTTAGAGTCACGCGTCGGGACTATGCTCGCCCCGGGCAAAAACGAGCCCGTGCCCCCATTAAGCAATTGGAAAAAGTCGATTCGGGTGGAATTGTTATATTGTCGATTTGGTGAATCGTCAAGATGCATTTAGGGCATGCACCCGATGCATGTTGTGACTTTCCTGTTCTAGTTGCACCAACCGATTGTTCGTCGTGCAATAAATATCACTAACAACCAAGTCCAAAGAAAATACAACGGAACTTGGGCCAATCTTCTTCTTCTTCTTTTTTTCTTTTCGTGAAATGTAACACGAGTCTTTCTATTTCACGAAGCGTGCTTAATTAACCTATTAAGATGAATGAAAGTAGTGATTTCTCATAAAGTCCCGCACTAGGAAACAGTGAGCTCGTGTAAACAATCTCAGAAGTGATCCAGAGTCAGTTAATATATATGGATCGATTATCTTTTGGTGGTATTTATCATTCGCGAATTTTCATATAGGAGTAACTCTACATAAAAACACCACAAGCCAAAAGATCCGTCTCAATATCATTCGATGCGTCTAGAGGTACATGGGTCCGACTAACACCTAACTTCTTTCGATGACGAAAAAATTTTAAATTCCCACATCCAACCACACTCCGTCTCCCCCCATCGTTTTCATTAAATTCACAATCTTATCCATCCGTAAAGACTCGCGACGACAGAACTTGCCGTGCGCAGACAAAAGAAAATTGACATGAAGGGGGGTTGTTTCGTGTCATTTCAAAGGAAAAACATGGTGGGCAAGGAGTAGGGACCGATGGAAGAGGAAGTGGTTTTGGACTTTCTTCCCAAGAGCACATTGGAAGGATTAGCAAAAACTAGGGGAGGGGAGGAGATAAGGGCAAAAGGATGGCTTGGTGGGGGATATGCATGAATAAAGTAATGCAAACAATTATAAGATTAGAAAGTTGGAAAATCATATTTTATTTGACTGCTTCAAATTTTTCAACACTTGGCTTGCTCAGATCCCCACTCCTTATCTTTATAAATTTGTTTCCGTAAGATTCAGGTAGGAATCATACCAAATCGGCCCACTAAATTTTTTGCTTAATTTTTTAAATTTTCTGGGGGGTCTAATTTGGCCAAAGTTTCTGTCATACTCAATTGAAATACCTAACATTTTGTAGCAACTAGCAATGTTTTGAGAGAAGTGTTCAAAGATGTTTGAGGGGGCGCCTATGGTGAAAGGGAAGGAAAAGCTTGATGATGGTACCATGCAGCTGGCACTAATTGGACTTTGTCCATATGATTCACAAGATGAAATTAAGTCTAGTATATTCAAAAAGCATAAGATCAATTCGTTAACGTATTCGATTTAAACTGTATATTTGTGAGATGATAAGATTAACTTTTCATCAGTAGTTGTATTAAGGGTGAGTTTGTTTCGCCGAAAATTTCGTGATAAAGGAAAATAATTTTTATGGCAATCATTTTTAAGAAAAATAGTTATTTTTTATTTATTTGGTGGTTTAGGGAAAAAGTATTTTCCTTCTTACCAAAAGGGAAAGTCGTTTTCCCCCAATCTAAACTTGTTATTTTCGATCCATGAAAAATGTTTTTTTTCAGTCATCAAAACACTAAAAAGTTGGAAAACAATTTCCCGAAAACAGTTTTCCTTTAAACAAATAGGAGAGTATATTCGGAAAAATCCAATCCGATAGCTGAAGAAAATTCTACACAGTGACCATCAGCTGATTAGAGACTTTTGGCTTGCTTGAAAGCCTTTCCTTTCTTTCTTCTAGAACCAAATGGACTTGAGAACTTTGCACAAAGTGTTGATACACTTGACTTCTTTGGCCACTTGCTGAAGTGGGTCTACCAATTTGATCTTTAGCCCGAGCTCTCCTAGATGAATGCCGCAGCCGCGCAGCTATAGCTCAAGCTTGTGCGCAACTTCACACTGAAATCGATAAGATTGACCAAACTTTTGGACTCGTAATTGCAGAGCACAATTAAATTTTGCACTTAATGAAGGTGGGTGAATAGCCCCGTAGGAGAGACGAATGAGGGCATGTTTGGCAACTTGCCAAATAGTGATTAATTCTGTTCTTTTGTTCCTAGAATCAGTTTGGGAACAGAAATCTGTTTGTTAAATTTTTTGTGCCCAGAATCAGTTTTGGAATAGAATCAAGAATAAAAAAAAAGTAGCTTCTTGATTCTGGAATAATTTTTTCAGAACTGATTCTTCTTGATTTTCTTTTTTTTGGTTGTTGTTGTTCTTCGGCCCCGCCACCCGCCGGCCACAGGCCAGGGCCGGCAAGGGCGGCCTCGCCCAGCCAAGGCGAGGCCGACCTACTATCGCCACCCAGGTCCGTCGCCATCGGCGAGGGCGGCGGGGAGTGTGGCCGGTCGCCGGCGCCGGCAGTCGGCCATGGCCAAGAAAGGAAGAGGAAAGAAAGAAAAAAAAATGAAATAAATATTAAAAAATTCAAAATATTATTAAAATATTATTAATAAAAATAAATTTTGTGTAGTTACCAAACGCATTTCTGTTCTTTTTCTATTCTAAGAACAAAAATTTTGGGCACTTACCAAATGCCTTCAAATGCTTAGAAATTGTTTCCGGGCACAAAATCAAAGAGAATCATTTCTGCCCAGAATCAGATTCTAAGCACAGAATGGTTGCCATGCGCAGCCTTAGCAGCTCATTGCCTTTGGAAAAAAAATATTATCTACTAAGAAAAAGTCTTCACGAGGCCAGTTGATTTAATGAAAATGAACTCGGACCAGTGAATCCATGAAAAAAAGAAAATTTTGATTGCAGAATAAGGTTGTGGGTTATCGTTTTTCCAAACCCGCAAGAAAACCCGAACCAACCCAACCCGGGCTGGGAAATTTCTTCTGAAAAAATCATGGGCTTTGGTCCGATTTGGAATAATGAAGATCACGCGATCTTTCGACACCAAATTCAGCAGAACTATCGGATTTTGTACGGATTGAATTTCAAGAAGAAAACGAAATTCAAAACTATCAAACTGCCGATGAAAATGAAAAAGTGTCGGATCCTTCGTTTGCTTGACGGTGTTAATATTGACCCTCGCTACGCGCACGATGAAGGGCGAATTGTTGCAGATGAACACCAATCGAGTCGGCTGATGTCGTGGTGTCCCGACGATATTCAAGATAAACGAAGAGAAAATAACCAAAGCCCGTAGAGATATCAACTCCCCAAAGGCGACCAAGGGAAAATCATTGCAGACGAACGCCAATCGGGTCGGCTGATGACATGGTATTCCGACTAGGAGTGAGCAAGATGGACGGTCCAAATCAGGACCGGACCAGACTGACCGGTTTGGTCCGATTCTCGGAAATATCAGTCCGGTTCCTAGTTCCTAAAAGTGGAACCGGTTTCCGAGCGGTCCGGTTCCCGGTTTTAGGATGGGAACTGGACCGACCGAACCGGACCGGACCGATAAATATATTTTTCTAATTTTTCATAAATATATAATATTTAATATATATATGAAAAATATTTAATATTGATCCCATTGGAATTGATTGTTCAATTTTTTCATATATTATATATATTTTTCCAATTTTTTCTACAACCTTATGGGATCAAATCAGAACTACGAAGGAAAAAACGGAATAATCGGTTCTTGGTTCACAAATAATATTTAATATTGGTCCCATTGGAACCGGTCTACTGTCCCAAGACTAACCGGTCCGGTCCCCAGTCCTAGAAACTGGGAACTGGTCTTCCCAGTCCGGTTTTCAGTTCTTGGGTTGGATCGGACAGAATCAGGAACTGCTTACTCCTAATTCCGACGATATTCAAGATAAATGAAGAGAAAAAAACCAAAGCCCATAAAAGATATCATCTCCCCAAAGGCCCAATTCCATCACTTCCCGACATTCTTCAAGATCAACCCACCGTTGTTGATGGCGAATCCTCCTCCACCCATCTCTCTCTCTCTCTCTCTCTCTCTCTCTCTCTCTCTCTCTGCGCATAACCGACGACGAAAGGGCCAATACCAGAGCAAAGCACAGGCACAGCAAATGAGGAACGGCGATTCGCCGCTCCTTGCGAGAGCAACGATCGGGATCATCTGGGCGGCCGCGATGCTGTGCACGTGCCACTCGCGGGCCGACCTCCACCCCCTGATCGTCGTCCCGGGGAGCGGCGGCAACCGGCTGGAGGCGCGGCTGACGGGGGAGTACAAGTCCTCGAGCTTGCTATGCAGCCGGCTGTTCCCGCCGGTCCGGGACCGGGACGGGTGGTTCCGGCTGTGGTTCGAGCCGAGCGTGCTCCTCGCCCCGTTCACCAAGTGCTTCGCAGACCGGATGACGCTCTACTACGACCCGGGGTCGGACGACTACTACAACGCCCCCGGGGTCGAGACCCGGGTGAGCCGGTTCGGTTCCACGGAGTCGCTCCGCTACCTCGATCCCCATCTCAAGTAAGATCACTAAACGCACGTCATTTCATCAGCTGACTTGTCTTGAAACGATCGACAACAGGTGCAATGAATAAGCTATCATAAATCAATATGCTATTGATAAATTGTAGGTTGTGGCTTCGAATGTGCATATGTCATAAATCAATACGATAGCTTCTCTTTGTTTATGAAATTATGCGTGATGAGCGTTTATGTTAGGCCCAAAAAAATTTCAAGATTTTGAAAAGGAAAATTGAATTATGTGGATGTCGTCATCCGATTAAGAGTGATTGTGCATTCTTTTTCGGGGGATTATGCAAACTATAATTCGATTTAGGAGTAATCGATTTCTGGGTGGACCGGTTCCCCACCCAAAAACTGGGAATTGGACTAAAGGAGCTGGTTTCCGGTTTTTAAAACTAAGAACCGATCCAGTTCCTGAGTAAGCCAATGATGTTCTTGAACACGCATTCCTGCACCTGAGCGAGCATCAACCTCTCTGGTATCCCCGTGCACTCCACCGACACATCCACCATGGTGGAGTTGCCCATCCAGGAGGCCTTGGCGTCCGCGTTGTCCCTCAAGTAAGCGAATGCCCTCACGACACCGATGAACACCTGGACCGCCTGCCAGCGCCCCTCCACTGTCGACTAATCGTAGCTCAGCCCGATCTGGCTGCATACGGCACCCAGATTGAAGTGGACAACAGCCTTCTCGAGGTGGATGTTTTGCCGGAGGCCTTCTGCTTCTGCTTGAAGTCGTTGTGCCAGGTGAAACTGGCGACGTTGACATGGTCCTTTTTTAGAGAGATCGGGAAGCAGGTTTCAACCACGTAGATGGCACGGAAGTAGGATTGGAGGATGTCCCGACGGCCGGTGGGGGAGGGCTGCTTGGCGAGGTTCTCGAGGTCGGAGTGGAGGTCCTTGAGGGTCTGGAGGTCGTCTTCCAGGTTTTGGGCCTCGCGCTCGGAGTAGTTGAAGGCGATGTAGGAGCGGAGTGGGCAGTGGAGGTCAACCGAGGTGGTCTTATTCTTGAAGATGCTGACCATGATGTTGGTGGTGGAGGAGGGAGAGGAGGAGGAAGAGGGCGGAGCTGCCATTTTGCTTGTTAGATTATGGAGGTAATTTTGGGGAGGAAGGAGTGTAGAAGACGATCAAGTGAGAGATGGGTTTTGGGCTTAAGGGTTTGTGAAGGATTAAGACTTTTTACAAATTTGTAAGAAGTTAAAAAAAATATTGGTCCGATCCGGTCCAATTCAGTTTGAGTAGTCTGGGTGGGCGGTTCCACACAAAAAACTGGGAACCGGACCAAAAATCACCGGGATCAATTTTTTGGAATCGAGAACTGCCCAGAACTAGCCAATTTGGTCCGGTTTTGGGATTCCATGGACTGGATAGGCTTTGAATTCTGGTGGAGCTTTTCATAGTTAGTTACCCAAGTGTCAGGGAATAACTTAACTAGTTGATCTCGAGGAATCTGTCTAGATACATAGAGCAGGAAGTCTGATCATTATCTACTGAGATAAAAAAAAAACGTCCTCCGTGTCTAGAAAGTTGAGATCAATAGCATGGTTCTGGATCCGGTATACCATTTGGTAGTGTAAAGTTACAGCTATAGAATTAGGAATCTGAGGAGCTCCAGTAAGCTGTAGATAAACTTTAAGAGCAGAAATGAGTCTTGAATCTGAAAGAGCCATGTTAAAATTTGGAAACAGTGTAACAAACACTGTTCCGGCATTTAGAGTTGTTTGGATTATACCAATGCAGGTATATTGGTAATCCAAGACATGGGTGTCTAAAAGGACCACGCGAGCAACAACAGGTAAACCTTTTCAGCCATGGAAAGAGAGAGCAAGGCGGATAGCCCAAAAGTGGAGATGCGTATATCCTTGTTGTATCCACTAACGTGGAAAGTCAGAAGGTATCTGGAGGATAACAAAATGTTCTTACTGAGTAGCGGGAATAGGATGCTGGTCAAACTGGGATGATTAAATATATTCTTTAACTTCTCGAGATGTATGTTTGATGAGTTGTTTGATGGAATGGAGAGGAAAGAAAAAAGGCGGTTTGGCGAAAGCAGAATATGGATTAATAAGGGGAAGATGAGTTTTCGAAATCTTACTATCTTCATTAAGGTATGAAACCTCATAAAGATAGTCAATTTTAGAAACATTTGAAGTGCGAAGATCTAAAGGAGCATTTACAGTGACTAGTGGACTGGAATCAGTAGAATCACTCATGATGGAACAATGCTACCTTTTCCACTTGGCATTTCATCTAAAAACAAACAAGTAGGCTGAATAGAGCGCTGGCTCTGATACTATGAAGGAGAGCTAAGATGTAAATCAGAGACGTAGACAAGGCTTCTGGCAGGTCTGCTATCCCACACACAGACGGCCATCCAGGCCTTTATAAAAGGGACTGCCTTTTAGCCACCAAGCCCCTCTTCAAATTTTGATTCGCACCTTAGAACTGCTTTATAGTAGCAGAATTCTGATGCACAGGTTTCATACCATGGCAAGTGCAAAGCATACTATCGGGACTAATCAGCGCACGTACGTTTGTTTAGAAAATCATACCAGGTAGAAAGGTAGAAATGAAGATTCAGGGACTCATAATGCACACAAGTTTTATTTCTTGAGGAGCAGATCATGTCTCCAAACCTTACAAGCATTGCCTTATATAGGCAAAAAAGTAGACAAACAGCTAATTATTGGTGAAGTTCTGGATATCACCAATAATTCGACACTCTCCTACTAATCATAAAGTCTGACATACGACAAGAAAGACTTCATCAAGCGACAATAAAGACTGACAGACAACATACAAAGACTTTTACAACTGACAGACGACTGATACACTTTCGAACAACAATTTTTCTTCGTTTTTCTTATTGCTGCAATGCCAAACAATGATGAACAGTATGTGAACAGCGAATGAATAGTGCATGAACAGTATATGAACAGTAACTTTCCGACAATTGAGCCGTTTTTTCATACAATTCTGTCAAAATTGCTTGGTCGGTCTTAAGAGATTATATTTATGGATGGGTTCTTCGGTGTTGTCATCATCACAGCTGTCCGAACTATCTCCGTCCTTTTATTTCCTATAATCCCTAAGGATCCGTTCAATTTCTGCAATTTCTAGGCCCACATCTTTATGAAGTTCCGAAGACTTTTGTCTTTTTCGCGGAGACTCATAGGAAGCACCTGGAATGTCCGTAGAACTTGAGGCGATATCAGCGGGACATGATGGAATTGCTGGTTGGGGAAAATTTTTTACTTGTAGTGACAGACTATTTTTGTCAAGACCTAGGCTAAGTGCTAGTTGTAACTCACTGTAATCATACATGTCCTGTGATAATGGTCCTCCCCATGGATCTTGTGATTGAGGATCTTGAGATGATGACAAGGCCTCTTGAGAAAACGATGAGGCAGCAGGATCCAAGGTAGCGGCAGCAGCATCTATATCAGCTTTCATATCTATGTCATAATATTGTCCCAATACTATATCAATTATCGCCTCATACCTGTGATCAGCTGGATGATCCCAAGACACGTCGCTAGAACTGGTTGGCCATACTTATGGTGGTATCACTTGATTGTATTGACATAGAAGCCTCTGGAGTTCTCTATATTTCTAGGGAAGTGCCGAGATTTTACATGAAAAGGTTTTGAAAAACTTTTCTGGAATTGGCTGAGGTTTGTAAGTAGTTACTCTTACATCACATGGAGTTTTGCTCATGTTTCCATTTGGACAAATAAAAACCCATGGCCTATAAAACAAGACTATTGTATGCCATTCTGAATTGGGTCTACATGCTCTAAGTTGTTCCTGAAACATGCATTTCCAAGCTCCCAATCGTTTGAACCAATTAAGCATATCACCCAAATGCTTAAACTTCTTTTCTCCCTAGAGAATTCTGTCAATAATGAAAATAATTCTCGTTTTTGTAAATTCAATGGCTATGGTATAAAGATTGAACAAATACCAACAAAACCACTTGAATTCCTCTGGAATTGGTCTTCAAGATTGAGGGAGATAGGATGGATGAAAGGATATTCTGGATATAACCCACTGGGTTTGAGACTTAATACTCCGAACCTACTGAAAATCAGTAATTGATATTTCCACATTAATGACGGTAGATTTTCAAAAAGGGTGTTGTTTTGGATGTATTCATGAACTTCTGATGAGTACTGCCTGCTTGGCCAAGAATGTTTCATCTTAATAGGTTTGTATCCATCGAACGGATTTCGGAATATATACATATTTATAGATGAAACTGGTGCAGCAAATTCTTTTGGACTGGATAAGAAATCAGCAAGCACACTCTTTTTTCCTGCAATATGCTTGGTTTCAAATGAATATTTTGAAAATCATTCCGCCCATCTAAGGAATTTGCTTTTATTTGAACTTCAGCATCCGAGAGAATGAGGACATATCTAGTTTCACTAGAAAATGATGCCTTAGGAGATGACATTCAAACTTCTTCATGCCATATTTTACCACCAAGATTTCCTTGAAGGTAAAGTGATAGTGCATTTCACTCTACGTAAATCTTCCACTTTTGTGTCCACAGATCTTACGTTTGCCATCATTTTCTTCGAATAGAACGGCAACCCAATATTCATCATTGGCATTTGTCTGCAAAACTCTCTTCCTAGTAAAAGGGATTTGCAGAGGAGGAAAATGCTGCAAAACTTCCTTAAAGCGTCTAACAGATTTAATCGGTTGAGGTCACCATGAAGGGTTTTTTTTTAACAGTTGCTGCAGTGAACTCACCAAATTAGTGATTTCGGGAACAAAGTCTTTGAGATAGTTGACTATCCTAAGGAACTGTTGAACCTGTTTAAGAAAAAGATTTTCATCAGGAAATTTCTGCAATTCTTCAACAATATGAGGATCATGATAATATGTCCCGTCCTTAAGATGCATTCCGAAAAATTCAATTTCCCATTGGGCAATAATCATCTTTTTTCTGAGATAGCATGATGCCATATTTTTGGACCAATTCAGCAAATTGGCTTCACAATTTACAATGAGATTCATCGGAGCTGTAGAGGAGGATATCATCAATGTAAATTTGGGCATTTGCCAAAATAGGCTGGAAGATTTTGTACATAGCTTTCTGGAACAACGAATGAGCCATTTTAAGACCAAAGGGAAGCATTGTCCACCGAAAGTGCTGATTAGGGATGCTATCCAGTTTTGTGCCTGTCATCTGGATGAATTCCCAATTGCCAGAATCTAGCTTTGAGGTCAAATTTGGAATAGACCTTAGCTTGAGTAAGGTTGGAGAATAACGAATTTCGGTGGGGTAATAGGAATATATCATCTTGGAGGAATTTATCATCACTGTTTGGTACTGTAGCAAGAATTGGTTAAATTTATCATCTTGGAGAAATTTATCATCACTGTTTGGCACTGTATCATCTTGGAGGAATTGGTTGAATTTATCATCTTGGAGGAATTTATCATCACTATTTGGCACTGTGAGAATAACGAATTTCTGTTCACGTACTGTTCATCACTGTTTGGCACTGTAGTAAGAAGAAAAAGGAAAAATTATCGTTCGAAAGTATATCAGTCGTCTATCAGTTGTAAAAGTCTTTGTATGTCGTCTGTCAGTCTTTATTATTGCTTGATAAAGTCTTTCTTATCGTATGTCAGCGTTTATGATCAGTAGGAGAGTGTCGAATTATTGGTGATATCCAAAACTTCACCAATAATTAGTTGTTTATCTACTTTTTTGCCTATATAAGGCAATGTTTGTAAGGTTTTGAGACATGATCTGCTCCTCAAGAAATAAAACCTGTGTGCAATATGAGTCCCTGAATCTTCACTTCTACCTTTCTGCCTGGTATGATTCTCTAAACAAGCATACATGCGCTGATTAGTCCTGGTAGTATGCTCTGTACTTGCCATGATATGGACCCTGTGAATCAGAATTCTAATACTATAAAGCAGTTCTAAGGTGCGAATCAAAATTTGAAGAGGGGCTTGGTGGCTAAAAGGCAGTCCCTTTTATAAAGACCCGGAGGGCCGTCTGTGTGTGAGATAGCATACCTGCCACAAGCCTTGTCTTCATCTCTGATTTGCATCTTAGCTTTCCTTTGGCCGGTTCCTTTTGCTCACCCTTAGTTCGATTATCATTGTAGTAATTGCCTTTCTCCACCGTCATTTAATCTGAAGGTCCGAATTTTCTTTATTATTTAGCTCTCGTCTTCTAAATTACGAAAAATTTCGAAAATAGTCTTTTGATAACTTTTTCTTAGAAAGAATGCACCAAATCCTAAACCATTGTAAATTGTTCAAATGGACTCCTCAACGAGAAAAGTGTAAGAAAAGTCTTAAACCTATTGTGTTTGTTCCAATTTAGTCATAACCCTTTTTTTGTGTCATTTATTCATAAACCTTTTGACAAAATGCCAATTTAGTCATTTTGGCTAATTTTGGCTGGATATTACTGACGTAGACGTTGGCCGACTTAAGTGGCACCGCCTACGCTGACGTAGACAATTTAAAATAATATTTTTTTATTTTTTTCTTTCTTTCTTCTTTTGTTAGTGGCTGGTCACCGACCACAAGCGATGGTCAGCCACCAGCCATGGCCGGATGGGCTAGCCTCGCCTGTGGCAGTCGACGGCAACTCTCGCCCAAGCGAGGCCAGCCTATCCAGCCATGGCCGATAAAGGAGGAAGAAAGAAAAAAATAAAAAAATCGAAAAATATTAAAATATCATTAAAAATTGTCCATGTAAGCGTCGATGATACCACTTAGGTTGGCTGAAGTCCATGTTAGCAATACTTAGTCAAAATTAGTCGGAATGACTGAATTTTCGTCATGTCAAAAGGTTTATGACCAAATTAACGCCAAAAAAAGATTTAGGACTTTTCTGACACTTGTTTTTTAAAGAAAGGCACCAATTCCTAAACCATTGTAAATTGTTCAATATGACTCCACTTTTTTTTATTTTGTGCGACTAGATCGCTAAGCTATATATATTTTTAGTTAGTTTTTCCGTTAAAAAAGAAATGGAAATGCCACGTGGATCCGCACTTTTAACTAATATCCTTTGTGTCGCTCTTTTGTTTTTATTTTTTATTTTCTATTGCAAAGGGTTGTCTGTTTGGTAAATTAGGTATGAACTCTGTAGGGCAGATATTTGTCAATAGGAGATGAGAAAGATATCGACGAAGTCGCAGATGTTGTGAGCAAATTTCGAGGGATTGGTCGAGCATGAGATATCACACATTGATAATATAGCAGGTCTCGATTCAATTTGTACAAAAACCACAATGTCTTTAGACCAGATGATTTAAAAGCGATTTTCATATGAACCTGCGAAATCCCATGTTAGTATTCAGTTTGATCGGACCATGAGATGTAAGCCTATCCATGATATTATCCCGACTTATATAAAAATGATTTGGAGCATGCATGTGTAAACACGAGAGCTCCAATCGGTACGCAGTGACGGTCTATGCGAAAATATTTGCGATTGTACTTGGGATGCATTGATGCAATATGTTCTCTTAAACAACTTTGCCTAGGTAATGTAATACCTAGGATCATATGCTATTTATCCTGGTTATGACATTTACCTTTCCATTAACTCTTAGATACTTTTCTTTCCGCAGGCAAGCCACATCATACATGGCAACTCTAGTTGAATCCCTCCAAAAGGTTGGGTATGTCGACGGCAAAACCCTATTTGGAGCTCCTTACGACTTCCGGTACGGCTTAGCTGCCGATGGCCACCCGTCTCGCGTCGGCTCCAAGTTCTTACGGGACCTCAAGGACCTAATCGAAAAGGCTACGGCATCCAATAAAGGCAAACCGGTAATCCTCCTCTCTCACAGCCTCGGAGGCCTCTTCGCCCTCGAACTTCTCAACCGAAACCCTAGCTCGTGGCTTCGAAGGCACATCAAGCACTTCATTGCCCTTTCTGCCCCATGGGGCGGCAGCATCGATGAATTACTCACCTTCGCCTCTGGCAACACCCTCGGAGTTCCCTTGGTAGATCCGTTGATAGTACGCGAAGAACAAAGGAGGTCCGAGAGCAATTTATGGCTCCTTCCATCCCCAAAAGTTTTCGACATCGAAAAGCCACTCGTGATCTCTCCATTTGCAAACTATACGGTTGGCAACATTGTGCAGTTTCTAAACGATATCGGGTTTCCAGAGGGAGTCCAACCGTATAAATCAAGGATCTTGCCACTCATAGAGAGACTGGCAGTCCCAGAGGTGCCGGTGACGTGCGTGTTCGGCTCAAACGTGAAGACACCGGAGAAGCTAATATATAGAAGCAAGGCTGAGGGCTTTGATGAGCAACCGGAGGTGGTATATGGCGACGGAGACGGTACGGTAAACATGGCAAGCTTGTTAGGGCTCGAGTCTTTGTGGAAGGAAAATCGGAAACAACAATTCAAGGTGGTTACGATTCGTGGAGTTTCGCATATGTCGATATTGAAAGAAGAAATTGCCCTTCAGGAAATTGTTCAAGAGATCGTGAATGTACATGCAAATCACATAGAAAGCTCAAATGTGCAGAGATGAGAGTTATATGTAAAATGCATGTGTGTACTTAATTGGGCATACCCGTCAAGAAGACGTGAGTTGAAATTATTAGGCTCATTTGAAACTCTGATGTACTCTTGTAGATGAATAAGTCCAATACATAGATTTTTATCCATTATAATAAATAGTATTAATAAATTTTTGAAGGAGATTTGCACTGCGATAGGTAAGGGTTCTAAACCCCTAAATAAAATGAGTTAATACCACAAAAAATCATAAACTGATACACTTATGATAAGTTTACCCAAAGCTAATATTTTGATTACCAAAAATCTCAAATTTGTACACATGTAACAAATTTAGCTTCTATTAGTTTTCGTTAAATTTTACTGTCAAATTGCTGAGTTGGATTACACATGGTAGTTGACTAATGTACCAGTTTAAGGTTTTACCCCTTGTTTGTCACAGATTTACACCAATTTATGATTTTTCATAATATTAATCCAATTTAACTGAGGGTATATTTGTCACAAGTGTACCGGTTTGGGATTTTTTGTAGTCAAAAAATTAGTTTTGGATAAATTGGTCATAGGTATAACAGTTTAGGGTTTTTAGTGGTCAAAAAATTAGTTTTTGGCAAATTTATCACAGATGTTCCAATTTGGGGTTTGTTGTAGTATTAACCCAAATAAAATCGATGAGAGAATTACCAAAAAAGTCATAAACCTATTGTAATTGTGTCATTTTAATACTAAACCCTAAACATTTTGCATTTGTGCCAATTAGTCCATACAGCCAATTTTGATCTGAAATCGCTATCATGGATGCCATCCGTCCCACGTGGCGCTACGTGGTGTGGGAAGCACCGACGTATACATTTTTAAATAATTTTTTAATAATATTTTATTCTTTTATATTTTCCTTATTGTTCTTTTCTTTCTTTTTCCTTTTCTTCTTCCCTTCTTCTTCTAGTTGGTCACCGAACCTCGGCGACAGGCCAAAGGTGAGGATCGGCGAGCTTGACCTTGCTGGCCACTGGCAAAGCTCGCCATCACTAGGTTAGCACAGTCGAGCCTTGAGGGCAAGCCTCACCCAATGATAAGGCAAGGCCAACCTTACCCAAAGACAACGAGATTTGAGACTCACCAGGGCGAGCGAGGTGTCGTGGGATGTCGGCGTTCTCCTCTTGGGTGGGCACCGCAATTGCTGGAGCGGCTAAAGCCTCATTTTGGATATTAAAAAAGGGTTAATACTACGAAAAACCCTAAACTGGTACACTTATAACAAATTTACCCCAAACTATTTTTTTTACCACAAAAAACCCCAAACTGGTACACCTGTGACAATTTTACCTCGAATTATTTTTTTGACCACCAAAAACCCCAAACTGGTACACCTGTGACAAATTTACCCCGAACTAATTTTTTAACATTATTTTTTACTTTTTCGAATTTTTTTATTTTTTATTTTTCCTTTCCTTTTCTTTTTTTTTTTCCCTTCATCTTCTTTATCTTCAACCTATGGCTAGTCGCCGGCCCGGCGACCGACCAAAGGCGGGGGCCGGCGAGGTCAGCCTCGCCGGCAGCTGGCGAGGCTGACCTCGTCGGCAATTGACAAGGTCGACCTTGCCCACCCTTGGCGAGGTTCGACCAGCCAGTTGCCGGCAAGGGGTCGTCCTCGCGGTCGTTGGCGAGGCTCGGCCCCTCCGGCAACTGGCGAGGTTGGCCTCGCCCAGAAGCGGCAAGGTTGAGCCTCGCCACAATGGCGGACGACCCTCACCAAAGAACCACAGGCCGAGCCTCCCTGAAGAACGGCGAGGACGACCCCTCGCCAGCAACTGGCGAGGTCGAACCTCGCTAGGGGTGGGCAAGGCCGACCTCGCCAGTTGCCGGCGAGGGGTCGTCCTCACCGTCGCTGGCGAGGCTCAACCTCGCCGCTTCTAGGCGAGGCCGACCTCGCCAGTTGCTGGCAGGGCCGAGCCTTGCCAGCGACGGCGAGGACGACCCCTCGCCGGCAACTGGCGAGGTCAAACCTCGCTAGTGCCCCGCCTCTGACCGATCGCCGGACCGGCCATAGGTTGAAGATAAAGAAGATGAAGAAAAAAAAAGTGAAAGGAAAGGAAAAAGAAAAGAAAAGAAAAAATAAAAAAATTCGAAAAAGTAAAAAATAATATTAAAAAATTAGTTCATGGTAAAATTGTCACAAGTATACCAGTTGGGGGTTTTTTATGGTCAAAAAAATAGTTCGGGATAAAATTGTCACAAGTGTACCAGTTTGGGGTTTTTTGTGATCAAAAAAATAATTTGGGATAAAATTGTCACAGGTATACTCGTTTATGGTTTTTCGTGGCATTAACCTATTAAAAATCACATAATCTATGAGCTGTTGGTGTTACTGTTCATAGCACGACCGGTAGGAGCGGTGAAATACCGAAAGAGCCCCTCCGGCCGCCCGGATACCTGTCCTCCCGCCAAAGCGAGTGTACTTCCTCCTCGCGCAGGCTCCGGCGCACCATATAAAAAACCCCCCCCTGCATGTCCACCGCCTGCCATCCCGCGCCGAGCCGAGGTCGAGAAGGTCGTCATCGGCCACCGTCGCGGAGCGGCGCTCAGAGCTCAACCCCCACGGCGGCGGCGAACACCTAATCCGATCCCCCGCAAATCGATTCGGCCGGAGGGAGGAAGGTCGGAGCCGGAGGGCGGAGAGGAGGAGGAGCGGTTCGGATCGGAGGAGGAAATGGTCGGGGATGGGGGCGACACTCCTACCAGGTTGCTGCTTACTGATTTCAAGCTCAGCGCCGCGGTCATCGTTTTTTTTTGTCCGTTCTTTTTCGTCTGCATGTTCTCGCATTATGATGAGTTTGTAGTGTAGCGTCCGGAATCGGAAGATGCGGGGTGTGTGTTAGGTCGAGTTTGCTCGAGCGATCGCGGATTGAATCGAGAAGAACTCTTCGTTTGTTGCTAAAAATCGATGTCGCTGTGAGCTTCCTGCAAATTAGTTTATTGATGGATGGATACGGATGGACGGCGTGATTTTTTGTTCCCTGGGTGGAAACTTTTTACATGCGTGCGCGAAGATGCGGTCTGTGGCTTGAACTTGGGGATGAAGACGGGCAACCCTTGCGAAGGGTTGGTGGTGACCTGATGACCGCGTTTTTTTTGGCGCTGTTTTTGCAGGTATGAACTGTTGAGCATGGTAAAGAAGCACTCCAATTTGATAGGGAAGACGAATGTCGACGAGCAAGACGCTACGGATGTGGAAATGGATCCGAAGTTCTGGCGTGATGTTTTCGATTTGTATTTTATCCGCGGGAAGGAGTCAAGGGGGCGGCAGGATGACGACCTTTTGTTTTTTGTCAGAAAAATGGTAATCTTATTTTCTTATCGCCGGTCGACTGGAACGTGTGTTATCCATATAGGGGATCTTCCAATTTAGCCGATGCCTTGTTCATTATTCCATATTCCACATATGCTATATGTGTTACCTGTTAATTAGCATCGGTAAATAAAGTGCTGTCTATGGAATTGTCTGCTGTAGAGGACACAAGGTGATCCATTGAATGAGAGTCCAGATGGTGTATCTCCCTACTTTGTACGCAGGTGGGCTTCTGAGGTAAAAGGGACCATGAGAATACTTTTGAGCTACTCTACTTTATTCAATTTTGCTTTCCTCTCTTTTTTCCATGCCTCGCCATTAATTGTTTAACTGTAATATAACAGTCGCTTCCCTCATTAGAATTAGATCTCGTCAATTTACTGATTTCATAAATGATGGTTAAGCGAGATATGTCATGTTTGCACGGTACACATGCGATTGTGCTGTCCTTCTAATCAGATTAGCTCTGCTTGAATTGACTGTTGATTTCTGTTGATCAAATAATTATCTTTTATTTTTGCCAACGTTGATATTATCATTGAAAAATCAAGAATGTAGTTTGAGGTAATTCTAGTTCGAGGAGCTAGCATAAGCCTGACCATGTTAAGCTATAGTTGTCAGGGTAAACTAAAGATGCAGTAGGTATTACTCTTGCTTGCTGACTTGGTCCCGAAGAGGTTTTAATTTAAAAGCTTTGGTTAATTTACTTTTTTTCTAGATTTTCTTATATAGTGCATGGTCTTAAATTACTGGATTTCATTTAACCCACACAGTGAACTAATGATTCAGATTTATTACCATGTTCTTGGCAACATACTTATCATAGTTTGCCTTTTCTATGACATATGTCAGCATGATATATTGAGGTCTCATTGAACAAACGGACATGCTTAGTGTTGGAGCATATCTAAGGTTCCATAGGAATTGTGACTTTTCCAAACCTCTTGTGAATTTCCTTAGAATACTTCACATCTCTCCTATAGTTTGATTAAAATTATAAATCTCAATTTCACCTTATGGAGAGTTAGCTAACAAGTTCCTATTATTTTCACATGGCCTAGATCAAATTGGCTCTAGATTTTGAGGAAAGAATTGAGGCAAGTCTATGGAAACTGAGGAAACTACTCAAAAATTTTGTTTTATGAACTGATACAGGGTATATTGGTTGATTTCGTACAATGAAGGAACTTAACTTGAGCTGTGTCTGATTTTACTGTCTTCTCTTTCCCTGAGTGTGCACTGTCAACTTGGCTGCAACCTACAAATAGGTTGTTAGGCACTCTTCTAGGAAGCTTCTCATTACTAAATATTAGCATGGCCAGATACTAAGTTAAAGAGGGAACTTCGTGAGTGGAGTATCCTCATAGTAAATACAAGTAACTTAGCTAGCTACATTCAACAATTTGACTCAACCGCTCCGTGCCTTCTTTATGTATCAAGCTTTCCTGCTCCTAGTGTATTCGAATTAGACATTTGTTTATCTTAGTCCTTTCAATAGGCGTATCTTATCTGGTTCATCGTCTTTAGGTTTCAAAGGAAATTCGGCACAACAAATATACCCACTCTGAATCATTTACTGACCTGTTTTCCAGTATCCCGCATGCACTTTGATTTTCAGTTTATATGATCTGTTAATCTCTTTTGATATATTAATACTGCTATTTTAACTTTTGAAAGCAGTTGGATAAGTTACTTGGCAATAGTCACGATGAAGTGGACTGGAGGCGCTCCTTTTATTTGAATTTGATTGCACACACCTCCTTCACTGTGACAGTTGCAATTTGCAGGCAAGTTGTCTACATTGAATTTTTATACGAACCTACTCCATTCCCTGGAATTTGAGTATCAAAAGTTTGATTCATCAATTGTGCTGGCGACTGCGAAAACTTATCTTAATTAATTTAATTTCTCCAATTATCCGTGAATTATGAGGTGATGAAAGGCTAGGGTAGGCCTATTTAGATTCCACAAGGCAATCCATATTAGTTTAAAAAGTACTTTTTCGTTTGTCATCTTAATTTTTTCTTCTGCTATGAGTTCGGAGATGGGACCTACTAGCTCCTTCTGGTCCGTTTTTTTCAAATAATGAAATGTTAGTTATCTTTAATTGTAATTTCTTCTTGGAGAGTTTAGTTGCTGCATGCCTCTTTGAAAGATGCATGTTTTTTTACTGGCTCCACTTGGCAATGGTGGTGGCTGTTGTTGTTGAAGTGAGAACTTCCGCAAATAAGATCTATACGTGAATAACCAATGTTAGCACAGGCTGCTTGGAGCTTCATACTTGAGATGTCGTGCTTGGTTTCTTCCTGGTGTTATTTCTCTGCAGTGCTCAATTATCTACGTAAGCTGTGTTTCTGTTCAATTGTTCTCTGCAGCCATGAAGTCCTTAAGAACCATCAGGCAGGACAAGATACGCCACTGTCTCCAATATATAAGGTACTCATAGCAACCTTATATATGCCCTAGAAAAAAGAGTTATAAGATGTACCCCTTGATTACATATTTCCATATATCTCCAGGTTGTTTTGACCTTTGTAAGGAACTTTCGTGTGCGGAAGTTGCACCTTCCGATGCTACCTGGTCTCAAGTCTCCTAGAAATCATGGGATAAGAGTAAAGTTTGAATTTGCTTTCGTGCCAATTTAATGAATTGGAAACAGAATAAATCCAGACAGAACAAACCAATTGAAGAACGGACACGGGAATCCCTGGAAGGGTAAGGGGTGTTTTGGGGTTTCGGGGGGGGGGGGGGGTGGAACGTGGGGATTGTCAATGTAGATATCCAGAGACAAGCAGTCAATTGGAAGCCAACCCAGCCGACCCCCTTCCAAAGAAAAAGAAAATAGCTAAGCTGATTACCCTTTTTGTACTTTAATTACGTTTTAAAGCTCTTATATAATTCTCTTTCAGTTCTAATGATAATGCAAGAGGGATAATCGAGAAAAAAAAAGCTATTTTCTTTCTCAGGAGAGTTCTCCTGTCATTCATATATATTCGATGTTCGTCGGTATTACTGATACTCCGGTTTGAGGTCTGTGGAGTTGTGACATGGATTAAATATTTATTTTCAAGTTCGATTCAGTGAGAATTGATCTATCTGCGCGTTCAGTGAAACAATTTTACTTAGCTATAAATCTTTGCATATTCTGATCCTTTTCCTTTGATTGAGAGAACCTATTGCCTATAGCTGCTGGTCAGCTGTAGGCTGTTGTTTTTTTCCCTGATCAGTCCCTTTCAAGCCAATAGATTCGATATTGATTTCTTTATTCAAGTCATGAGACAAGTACAAGACCATAATGCTGTAGTTATTTGCCATATGTTTGAGTACTTATTTGTGGTTTTCTTCTTTTTTTTTTTGTTTCTCTACTTCCTAATTTGAAGATCGATATTATCTTCAGGTTGTGAAAACTGTTTATGCATCTCCTAGTCGTGTCAATTTCCATTTGGACTCAAAAAAGGCAAGTTACTGATGCTTGATCATTGCAGCCTTTTCCCCTTATGGTTCTAGGATATTACAATTTCCTTCTTGTTCTTATTTCATTCGCTATCTGACAATGCCAATGTTTCATATCCAGGAAGTAGAGACAACACCTGCCTATCCAGATATCTGTTTTGCTGTTGACGACTTTGACTCCACATTTGATGCAGTGGTAACAGTTCTAATTTTTGTATATGCATTTCTTATTACATTGTGTGATAATAGCTTCATATCTATGCTCTCTTCTGCTAAGAGATGAGATGCTCCCAATTTGATGATAGAATAATTTAGATGGCCAGTGTGATATGTTAACAGAATTGATTTCTTGCTGGAACTTGAAAGTTTCTGGATTATTTTTATATCATGTTTTGTGACCATGCTCATACGAGAGGCCACTTTTCTTACAGTAATGATTCGGCTCTCATTTTTGAACAAGTGCATCTTGTTGTTCCATATTCTTGTGTTCAGTTAATATCATATATAATGACCTATCAAATCAGTCTTGCTATATTTAGCATAAGTTGATTGCTACACAATAGGGCTGTACAAGGTCTCATAATGTGGGTATTATGTCTTTATGTGCCCCGGTGTAAGAGTTCGATGCATGGTTTTATTTTCCCTTACCTTTAGTGCTCTAAAGCATTGGAGAAAAGCTTCTATGAGATCATAAAAAGTTCTTATCACATTCTTATATCCTCAAACTTGAGTCATCGAAAGCATGTATGGGTTCTTGTATATATTGTTTCATTCTTCGTCCCTCATCTTGTATTTTTGTGGTTGTATTATTACCATGTGAGCCTCTGTCTACCTCTATGAAGTGAAAGTAAAGATTGGACCATGACTGGCATCTAAGCAATTTGTCATTGTCTCTGTCATTGATACTCACTCTTTAGCCAACAAACGTACTCTGATACTTCTAGATTTTGATGGGAAGATTTGCCCACTAGTTGAAACATAAACAGAGAACAATGTGATATCCTAGTTCATTTTGACTCGGTGGCTATTATGTAAAGCATTTCAGCAATTATTTGCCTATGCAGGTCTTGTCATCAACAGACCATTGCTACTGTGTTCTACTAAATGCTCATGATGGAGCAGCATTTGCTTCCCAAAAGGAGCAAAATGATTGCATTTCCAGTAGTGATACTCCTCTACGAATTGAAGCGAGTTCTGGCAACTCCAAGAGCAGTAAGGTCCGCGTACATAATTATGTAGTAGATCTCTGTCGGTTTTTCTGATGCATACTCTTAGGCATGGATACATTTGCTTGGCTGACTTAAGTCTTTTTGTTTTCCTCACATGCATGCATGCGTGCACCTATGTAGACATAGAGTTTCTTGAGATTAGCGTTTGTGCCTTGCCACTTAGGGATCTCACTTATTCTATTTTGTTCTCTGTATTTCTTGCATCCTCGCTGTAACAATTGGCTCTCTCAGATCAGCAACCGTAAGAATTTTTGTTTTGGATGAAAGTTTCTACTTGCTTTATAGTACTTCAATTTTTCTTTTTGTTTTTTTTTTTCAGAAAGATGTTCTATTATGAGTTCTTTAGGAATTTTTACTCAATTATTAATGAGAGTGTTTTCAGTTTTCCTGTTTAGTTTTTATATGCACAAGGTCTTTCATTATAGAGAGGTTTGTAAACATTGCATGCATTCTGTAGCACTCAAGATGCATAACAATCGGAAGAGGAGCTACTTCTCATTTAACCTTTGTAACTTGCTGTTTTGATACTATTAGTGAGAATGTTTCAGTTTTTCTTGTTTAATTGTTATATTAATCTAGGTCTTTGTATATGAGAAGTTCGCTAGCACTCGTGACTGCACGCGATGTACCTAAGGATTGGGAGAGTTACTACTTCTCGTGTAACCTTTATTATACTGTTGAGTTATGCTTAAGACCCCCCTTTGATTGTCAAACAGTGGTCGAGGTCTAGGATAAATCAATTTTGAGTTTACGTGATCTGTTAAACTGCTGTCTATCTCAAGTTTTTGGTTTTTTTGCATAATTTGCCGTAGCCACTTAGCTATCAGGTTATGTCTACTATTTTTTTGTCACAATATTTTAATGGGAAAGTTTTTTTTTTTTTTTTTTGGTAAGGTTAATGGGAAAGTTTGTTTGCACATGCTAAGAAGATTCACTAAATTTTAATGGTGATTTGTGTTTAATTTATGCATAGGTTTCATTTGATGAAAAGTTTCCTGTATTCGGAAACAGCATCTTTTGACTTGTTTTTATGAATTCAGATTACCCTTTTTTCAGGATTTGTCAGCTATCATATGGTCAGAGAAGCATACAATGGTACAATATTGCTTCATCTCATTTAATGTTTCTAAATAGCTTAACTCTTTAATTTTCTTGGATCTTTTTTTTCCCATTGTCACAACAGTGTAGGAAAATGCTCACGTCAAGTTTGGGATAGTAGTAATTGCTATCTGGTTACTTGCAGTACATCCCCTCTTCCTTTTCTCAATCAAAATGAGCCTTATCTCAATACCATTTAAAGGAGAATTGATCTACACTGGGGTATGGTCATTTTAAGTGTATGTCACAAGAGATTCGGTGCTAACTAATTTACTTTGGGATTAGTGCAGTTATATTGAGCTCCATAAGTAAGAATGAAATGTTTTAACTTCCATGAGTTTGGAAGGCAGATATTTCATGCTAAAACTGCAGAATCTTTCTGCTTTCATTATTAACCGTAAGCCCCTGAACTAAGCTTACCTTTTTAGGATTACATGCTTGGATCCCTGGAGTATATTCTTTGTCAATTGAAGATAACCATTCTATAAAGTAAGCGAGGATAATAATTCATCTAACTAAAACACTAGAAAGGATTTGATAATTTTGCTACAGTGGCTTTTGTTTCTTGTTAGAAATAATAGGCTATGTCTGCTGTAGATGATTTATTGTTGAGTTATTGTGCATACAGATTTGTTTGCTATTACAATAGTGATGACTATGGGTGTTTTATGACTCTCTCTCTCTCTCTCTCTCTCTCTCTCAGCTGGAAAGTCTCAATTTGGGAGCCTCTGGTCACTTGGCCATTCACCTGGCAAACAAGATCGGCTTTACATGAAAGGACCTGGAGGACGTGGGGAAGTTGAAGTTGCTGTCTCTGGTGTTGTTGGTAGGATATACCCTTCACATAAATTGGCGCTATCTCTGGTCTTTGTGAAATTTTATTTGGATTCATTTATTGATCCAGATTTGAGTTTTTGGCAAACATCATTCACGAGGGAGACAACTTTCTTAATGCTATTACTTCTTTTTGCATTTCATTTTGTTAAAGTACGGAGGACATTTGTCAGCTTTATAACTATGATATTGGTATGTAGAACGATATTTGGTATAATCAATGGAACCAGATATTAGTACTTTTCTCACGTCTTATTTCTTCCTTCTCTCTTTTCTTTTTCTTTTTTTTGGGGGGGCGGTGGGGTTGAGGATGGTTGCATATATTGGTCGTTCATCTGATTTTAATGCATCACATTCCGCATAACATTTTTATCCACATGGTTGTGACTCATTCAATTGACTTATCCAGAAAAGGGAAAACAAAAATCCTCGACTGGGAAGAGGATTAGATTGACTAGGTTTGTATTGTTAATCCATTCCTGACTCTTGATCTTGCAATATCAGATCAAAGCAATGAGGATGTGGGCCCCTTTTCACCAGTTTCTGTATCTAACAGAGGATTCGGGATTGGCTCAATTGTTCGGAAAGCGGCATCGGTGGCATCTGTGGCGGCAAAGCATGCGTATGCTGCAGCCTCGGCCACCACTAGTCATGATGATGAACTGATGATACCCCTAAAATGCTGCTTGATGTCTATATCTCTGCCATGGGAACACATTGCTTATGATCTTCTTTTCAAGGTAATTGCGATGGGAATTTGCTTATAATGAGGTATTTATGGTGAGAAATTTCTCACTTTCCATTCCCATACAAGTCAATGGTTATGATTATGCCTCAATATTTCTTCTTTGGTTCTGAACTAAATTAAAATATTTGCTTTACTGACATGAAGTAATTCTCGTGAGTTCAGGGACATCCTCTAGTGAACTTATAAGCACTCAGGAAAATCAGACAAGGAATACCTATCTGCAAACGAAAGCTCGAGGGGACCAATTTGTAAGAGATGTAAGAGTGGAATTGCTAGATTGTGTTTTTTAAATTTAGGTGATCATCTCTCTCTAAGTTATGTGTTGGAAACAAATGTAATTGTGGTCATAGATCAGTGGACAATCTAAATTTGTAATGTCAAGGGGAAAAAGGTAATTTGCTATCCCTATGCTATACCCTGATTAGTTCCTCAGTTGAATAGGCTCAATTTTTCATTGGGGGCATGGTAAGACTAATTTTGTACTCCCCCCTGAGCGTGAGCTATCTTTTAAAAATTGAAGACGAAATATTGGTCAATTAGTATCGATGTCGCTATGAATTTCGCCTGTGGCTAAATGCTTCTCTCGATTGGTTTCCTGATCGGTAGTTATAACTTAACTATGTAATGCAAGGTAGGTATCGGTTTACTTATCAAATTTTCCTCTCTTGCCTGCTGCAATACCCAGTAATGGGTGAATCTTCTCTTGAGCTAAAAGAGACCAAATATTGCTGTCGTTATTCTTCGAACTGAGCTTCATATGACTAGAGATGCTAACTTCACAGAGTGAAGATGGTGCCTAATCCAAAAGAGAGAAATATTAAGATACTGTGCCTTGATGATGGTCTTCCACACGAGTTCTTATGTTGATTGTTTACTGCATAGAAGTGGTGACGGCTAAGCCGATGGTCATCTCTTAAGACGCTTGAACATGGTGATAGTTTCGGGGAGGAAAAGCAACATCTTTTAATGGTTGGATGAGTGGTCGACTCAATTCAGTCCGGATGCATTACATTTTGTTCAACATCTCCATTCAAAGCAATTTTGAGGGTCATAACTGTCATCGTTCGTGTGGAGCTTCGATGCAATGCGCACGGATGGATTGATCTATGAACATTTGCAGAGATTATTCGACAAAACGTTTGGTTCACTCGTATTAGTATCTAAAAAGAGATGTCACCTGAGGCTCTTGGTCCTTACTGGAGATTGTTGTTGAGACTTTTCAGCCCTCAGATGTTAGTTTTATTTCTTCAACCCTTCTCATAGATGGAGGGTTCTTAGTCCTCTCTTCTTCCACAATCAAACTTCATTTTTCTTGCCAGCTGAAACTCCTACAAAACCGATGTTACATCTCCATACTTCTTGTGGCATGTCACTAAAAACAACAAACGTCGAAGGTAATCCCCCTGTAAAATCCACACCAAGTTCTTTATGCCAACGGGAGTCTTCTTTTCCACAGCTTCTGCAGCCTAAATTTCATGGTTTGCACGCGCGGAGATGGAACACCTCCAACACGGTCGAACGTCGGTGACATAATTTGGGCATTATAAAATGGGGGTCACAATCTTTTCTTTGATGAAAACAGGGAGAAGGGAAACCAACAAAAACCAACCTGCAGGGGGCGGTTGCAAGCATTTTAGTACTTTTTGAGGGGTCTGAGTTTTATTAATGTCTAAACGGCATATAAATACAAAGATTAAAGTAGAAGGGCATCTTATGATCGGACATAATATGGTTCACAGCACATGAACCCTACTAAAAGCCTTTATCTTAAAGCCTAGTTTCAGGACAACCCCTGAAATCTCAGAGAGGGCCACAAGAAAAGCAGCCAAAAAAGGAGGAGCAGCTCGAACGTAACGTGTGCATGCATTGCCATGTTACCCTCCACTAATCCTTTTCTCGGCTTTAATTGCTTAACATGCAGCAACTGAAACTAACTGCCAATCCACAGGAAAGCAAAAATTGCTAACTAAAGAAAACTGCCGGGGATGGGGGTAGTTTATAGGCTTTTGAGCTATAGTGGGAATGCATAGCCATGTGAAAAGAAAGAAAATGAAAGTGTTCATTTCCTTTTCCAAGAAGTGGTGAGGCAAATGAAAAGCTCAAACTAGCAGCTTTTGCCCTGGTTGCGGTAGTATTTGACTTCTCTCTCCCTACTTCGCTGCTATACTCGTTAAGGAATAGAGCCGTGTTGGGTATGTTAAGACCGGTTTGCAAAAATTAGTACACTAAACGAATGTAACCACGAGTTGATTGTATGCGACCATCGATAAGGGTATGCCACGCAATGTACAGATTTTGCATTCGGGTTTACATATATACATCTAATGTTATGAAGTTTTGGGTGTGTATCATGACATTTTAACCTTTTAAAAAAGGATTAGTTTTGTACGGGTAGCATACATTATTAGTTGTTGCTGTTCTCGGATTGGTGGGTCTTTTCATCAAATGTCAACCGCATGTGCCTCTAGTTGGTAACACGTAGAAGAATACTCTGTCAATACCACCTGATACATCACCATGCATCACCGCATCTAGCGCCTCCAGGCTCCAGCGTCGCTCAACCCAAATACACCAAAAGCCCTCCTTCTCATCACCCCTAGAGTCGTGCTGGCACCGAGCTCGACCTTGTGCGACCTTTGTCGTTGCAGGAAGAGGGAGAGAGAGAGTACGATAGTTGCTCGTGGTGGCGGCCATTAGTGTGTCGTCGGATATAGTGGCAACAGATAATGGTTACTAAGGCAACAACTGGTCTTCAGTGGTGTTCGCGGTGGCGGCGGTGACCCTTGGAGCGACAATGATAATGTTCAGTTTAATTCTAAGAAAAGACGGGATAGAAAATGAAAACTAGGCTTCCTAATCATGCCTTTTCGTGTGGGTTTACACCTAACTATATGAATTATTCTATGCACAAGGGACTAATCACACATCCAGTAGCAGCCATTGGTTTCTGCATAGGAGCAACAACAAATTTCACTCTGCGAAAAAAAATATGTTAAAGTGTACTCGATATTAGAGTACAAATCATAGGTTTCGACACTATTTCATGTCGTCATTTTTCTGCACGCAATAGTTATTTGACGTGGCACTACTAGTTCTGTTGATATCTTGTTTTTTTTTATGAAACAAGCTCAATCTTCACCCACCCGTTGAGCAGGAACAAAAGTTGGCCTTATTAATCCGACTGTGCCGAGTGGAAGGGCAGTTGCTCAACGGATGAAAGCTACCCTGGGAATAATAGGCCGATCTTTCCCAAGAGCTCACATCGACTAGAAGATTTGGCACCTTGGCATTGGCTATTTGCCACCCGGGGCTATAATATGTTCCGAGGGTCGGGCTTTTTGTCCATTAAAGCAGCACTTGATATATCTTAGGCAATTCAAGTATTTAGGTAAAGGATTATCATCTACGTTTACCGAAACTGTCTTTCGATCATAAAAAGACAACTCAAACTATAGTTGAAAAGTCAACAAAACTTGTTGGTGGGCTTGAGTGAGTATAATTCTTTTACTTGTTAAGCACAAAGCAGTCGATTTTCAATGTAGATGGCTACACACCCAGTCCATTCTTTTTGACCGGTTATGCTCTATCTATAATACATGATTTAAATAAAGTAAAAGCACTAGCTTTTGCGACGTAATTTAATTCTCCCCCCACCTTATCATTATTACTAGATCGTGCCCACTTCAAATTGCTAGAAAGTAACTTCATTCATATTGTAATCTTTGAACTTTAACCATGGAAAATTCCTTATTTAGAGGAAACCATCCAATAGCAAAGGCAATCGGGCATGCTTAGGACAAGTGGCCACGACTTAATCCCAAAATCTGCCCTCAAATAGAATGTCATGTCATGAGTAAATTAAGTACGCATAGGATTTGCGTTTCAATTTCCCATGTTGCACTGTCATCCACATGGCGTTATGGGAACCGCAGACATGAAAAGTTGGAGATCGAATCCGAGAGATCTAAATCTATTGCCGTATGCGACAGAATAAAGGTCACAAAGTATAGACAGTCTTCTTTTCACTTCACCCTTATCTTCCCGTTCTCCTACTTCAATGGAGAAAGTGCACGTGGAGAACTTACGACTTTTATCTTGTTCTTGAAGAAATGCTTTTTTTTCTTTCATTTTTTGTGATATACCAAGTCACACATCGATTGCAAGAAATCATATTAAGTGATGTGTAAATCAACACACACTTCCAAATGGTCACCACCTCACGTGGTTATTCAGAAAACTTCTTTTGGGGGGCTTGGCTCAAGGGGAAAGGACCGGGTTATTACTTATGATATCGAACCGAGAACCCCTTTAGTTGGTGTGTGGAAAATGGACAATTTAGGCCCATACTAGATCCGACAAGGGCGGATAGTGATCGCTAAAGCAAAGGGTTTCAGATAAGGTGCGACCCTTAACAGGCTTTTAGGATGGCGAAGGATGAAGAAATATACCGAACTACACATTAAATAGGGAGAATATCCATGGACGTAACTTTTTTAAGTGAGAGAATTTGTGACATCATAATTCCCAATTGATTTGGAAAAGACCATTTTGAGGAATTCATAAATCAACACACACCCTTAAATGGCCTCCCTCTTCTTCTTTTTTGCTAAAATAACTGCCAACATCTTGTGTGGTCACTCAAAGTAATCTTTTAAAAGTTTGGTCCACATAAAACGAGCCGAGTCATTACATTACCAGTATAAATCATAATCAGTCAAGTCTTTTTCTTGGAGGATATGGCGTAACTAAGGTAGAAATTATGAAAAGTCTTCAACTAGACGCCCACATGGTTTTTCTTTTGGGATGATGTTGAGCATCACGCATCACCTTTATTGTTATATTCCAATATCGGATGCATGCTTGACTTTTTAGATCAAGTAACATATCAAAGTATCAATTTTCACATACACCAGCAGATACCTTCAAGGTGTTAACTAATTGCCTTAAAATAAATGAATTAGTGCCTTCATTAGCCCTCGTCACGATTCTAGTTGATCAAAGTGAACACGGTTAAATAGATAGATTTCTAGGCCATTTAAATCCCATTAACCAATCGCTTTGGGCGTACTATTGGATAAGACCTTCTCCCTGAACATACCGAGGTAGATGCCAAGGGTACGGAATCCGGTCTTGATGAGAGGCACTAGCAAGTGATCCAATCGTCGAGTTTATTAATCACAAGGAAACCCCCCACATAAATTTAGTTTATACGCGATAGTCTAGACGAAATCAATAATAACCCAAAATTGCGTCGATCCGAAAAATTCAAGAAAAAACAAAGGAGAAATGGGAATTGATCCTTGGTATTGCACATGGGAGCCCCTCTTTTTCTCACATTTTTTGTGCTCTAGACAACAAATGTGGCACCGACAAGTTCCATGTACTTCCAACTTATTGGCTCCCTCTCTCTCTATCTCTATCTCTATCTCTCTCTCTCTCTATCTCTCCCTACTTTTTTCAGTCACCATTTCTCTTTTCTTTTTTTCACCTGCGTATTCCATATGACTTCGGCTGAATCTGTTTGATTATTCTCTAATCTCGTTAGTTGGTGTCATGCCTTTGGCTGATTCTTCGTAATTAAGCTAGACTCGAAATCTCCTCTCTCTTGGGGTCCATCCACCCCCCATCTTCTGCTTTACAAAAAGCCAAAAGAAAGAAAATTTGCACATCCATACATATGAGGAGGAAAAGTGATCCCACTACTGTTGCTACCTATTACCCCCCAAACAAATTGTAATTTAAACAAAACACTTGGCTAATCACACCTTATTAAAGAATAAAGAAGGAAAAATTGCACACTAAAGGTGAATTTGTGGACAAATTTGCCCTCATCATTCAAAAGTTTCTCCTTTGGATGGACCCCATGTGTCCCTCCCCTCCCTTGCTATAAATACCATGCTCCTTCACCACATTCCCTCCCTTTTCCCTCTCTTTCCTCTCTCCGGTCTAATATTCTTAAGCGATTCAGTGAGCCATGTTCTGCTCGGATGACCCGGTTCAGCTCCAGCTACCGGTCCTCGGGACCGGGTTCACTTGTGATGAGTTGGAAGAGCTCTTGTCGGTTCTCGAGTCGGAGAGCCCCGTCAGCCCCAATAACTCCGTTTCAGAGGGCTCAAACAGGACCCTCAGCTCTGCGGACGACGACCGGAAGCGGAGGCGGATGATATCGAACCGGGAGGCGGCACGCCGGTCCCGCTCTCGCAAGAAGAAGCATCTCGAGGACATGACGGAGGACCTGAACCGGCTGTGCGCCGAAAACCAGCAACTCAAGAGCCGGCTCAACTTGTTCATGAGCCGGTTCTTCGCCGTGCAGATGGAAAACGAGCGATTGAGATCTGAGTTCGCGTCCCTATCGGCTAGGCTCTCGGATCTACATTGGATTCTACTCGCCATGCAAAATCACACCAACCCTCGTTAATTTTGACTTAATAACTAAAAATCTCTCTCTCTCTCTCTCTCTCTCTCTCTCTCTCTCTCTCTCTCTTCTCTAGCTAGGTAGGACGAGCGACAAAAGAGGATACGAGGGTGAAGAGTCTTTAATGGAGTAGAGCTTCGTAAAATACACAGTTTTATTATGCTGGGCTAGTCGAATGTTCCCCATGCACGGTGTACAAAGCTTCTTTTTTCTCATTCCGTTCTGTCGTCAACCCTGGAATGTACTAGGGTTTTGTTCACTCGTCGTGTCTGCGTGCGTGTCTTTTTGCGCACGCCACATTCAAATGGACAACAAAGGACTCATTCCCGACCACATATACGACCCGTGCAAGAGAGATCTTTGACACTCAAAGCCCCAAGAGATGGGGGAAAGCAGTATTATGTATACGTGTGCGTGTGGGTTTTCCCAACTTTCGAAGGGTCGTTCTCGGACCGTGGATATCGCCATCCTTTACCTAAAACAAAGGACTCGGTCTGCTCAAAAAGTTAATGGTGACTGGTCTGAATTTTCTTGACAGAGAGAATTGGATTCTAAGACAGGAAACAGTATGCAGCAGGCAATAATTAAATGAACTGTTGTTTTCATTATGTACAATTGCCGTTCGCACGTGATACTTGCAATTCGACAAGTGTACGTACCATCATTGTGCCAACACAACAAATAATTCGACAAGTCAATAAAGAATATTGCCCGACATTTACAGTATACAAGTCCAAAAGAAATAGTTAGGGAGCATTTATTTCGCGAATAATAAACGATTTGAAAAGAGATAATAACACAAACGGTTAATGAACTTTGAACGAATGTGCAATATAGTCTTTAAAATTTTAATTTGTTCAATATGATCTCTGAACTTTATTCCAATATGTAATATGATCCCTAAACTTTTAATTTGTTCAATGTGGTCGTTGGACTTTTGGTACATATTATGTTCAATGTGGTCCTTCAATTTATACAAGATTAGAGACAACATCGAATATTTTCATTTAGTCCAGGAAAGTTTTTTTTTTTAATTTGTTCGATATGGTCCTTCCATTTATTAAGAAAATGATCGCTTGTATCACTTATAAAAATGAATGAACGAAAAATATTTTTATTGTCCACGAAAATATTTACACATAAATTGTTATTGATAGTGAAAACATATTTCATTGACTAATATATTTCAAGCGACACATGACAATCAAACGCTAGTCGCTCAAAACTTACCTTGTAGACAAAATAAGCGTGTATCATACTCCTTGTAATTATTCAACCATATATTGCCTCAATGTGTTCATCATACAAATATGGTATTTGGCTTTTTGAGGCATTTGGTTAAATATTTGCGGCTGCAGATTCTCCATAGCTCCAGCATTTTCACAGCAGCTTCCCACAGTATGCCTATAGTAGTTTTGGAGTATTGTGACTTTTAAATTTTTTTAAAGTGAGAGCTATAACATATTCTAGAATTTTAAAATGATGAATAATAACATTACCATGATAATTTTACAATAACATATGCAAAAATCATGATAACAACGATAACAATAATAATAATCACTAAAAGATTAATAGCAATATTGTGAAAAATATTATTGCTATTACTATAGTTGTCATAATAATAAGGACATAATAAACATCATAGTTATCATTACACGATGATGATGACCATTGTTGTTGTTGTTTAAAATATATATATGGTGAACATGCCAAAAACTTTAATAGCAACGAAAAAATATACAACAATGTTATGGATCTTGTTTTCCCATTTTGATAGCCACAACAATCTTGTAGCAATTTTTGCCAAACGTGTGAATCATTTGTAGCCACAACACAACATCTTTAAAAGATATGCTATCAAACACGTGATTCGACACAACACTAGACAACGCAACTATAGCATAGTTACAGTATATCTGCAGTTGAACTAAACAGGCTAAGATTGTTCAACTACTTTAGTTTATCAAGTAATGCGACGGTCTTTAAGTGGTTATTTATGTTGGTGGTCCTTTAAGCACCGACAAATTTTTATGATAAGTAAATTTTGGAGACGAATATTAATATGTCTATGATGTTCAAAATTATTTTGATTCACCCATTTAAAATAGGGAAATGTTAGCAATTGAGTACATTTTTTGGGATATTACCTATACCGCTAGACTAGATATTGTGTAACTTTGACTAATTCAAATTTTCAATTATGATCCCGAAATTTTATGGGTAAGGGTCGAGTTGACCCGGTCTTTTGTGAGTTGAAAAAAGTCCTAAACCTACCCTTTTTGATTTTTGGGAAAATAGTTCAAAAAATTCTAAACCTATTGTATAGCGGCCAATTCAGTCATAAACCTTTCAATTGTGTCAATTTAGTCATAAACCTTTTGACGATTTATTAATTTAGTCCTTCCGATCAATTTTGATCAAATTCGCTAACATGGATGCAAGATGACCTATGTGGTATGGTTGCCGTTAACGTGACTAATATTTGGAATTTTTAAAAAAATAAATTTTCTTCTTTTTTCTTCCTTTTCTTTTCACCAGTGGCTAGTTGTCAGCCACAGGCGATGGTCGACGAGGGTCGGCCTTTCCTAGGCGAGGCCAAAGGCAATCCTTGCCAGATTTGGCAAGGCCAACCCTCGCCCAAGCGAGACCACGTAAGCCTACTGGCATTTACGTCAACGATTTCTGGTCAAAATTGATTAGAAGGACTAAATTGATAAATTATCAAAAGGTTAAAACTAAATTGGCATAATTGAAATGTTTAAGACTAATCATCGTACAATAAATTTATAACTTTTTGGACAATTACCCCCCCCCCCCCCCCCCCCTAATTTTAGGCAAATTTGGCACGTTATCAGGTTAGAGTTCGTTTTTGCCAAGTCCACTTTTGAACTAATTTCAACCCCGTCTTGTCAATTGCGCAATCTGCCGAATGATTTTTTTTTTCTTTTCACTTTGCTACCTAATTTGGGGAAGATTTATCCGACAAACGGGGTTTGGAGAACTTCAATAAATAAACTACCACATAGGTTTTTTTTGGCAAGCCAATGAGTCATCGGCCTTTTTTCCCCACTTAATTAATGGTCGCGAGGGGAACCCATATCATCCTTACTTGAATCTCTCACGGGGTGCTAGGGACTCCCTCACCCCTTGCACCAGATATGTCCGAACTGAGTGCATGTGGAATTATTGGAACTCAGCATCCAAAGGTGAGATTGTAGGAGTACCAACACACGCGCCACAGTTCGTGGGACATATTAAGGATGCGGGGGATTGAACCCCTCGCCTACCAATAAGTTGTTAAAACTAGAATGAACTATTCTAAAAAAGTTACAGAACCTAAGATGATCCATCGTTAAGTTGGGGAATGAAAATATACGCGGTACAATTAGAATTAAAATTTCTGGAGTCCTTATACTGCCACGTCACTCAGTAGCACCAAGTAAATTCCGTCGAATCCACATTGGTTTGAGAAAATAGACACCGATAGGATAAAGTGGGATAAGAAATTGGTGTTTAAGTATGATTTTTCCATTTGTGAGAAGAACATCTATACAACATATTTTCCTTGCTACAAGTTGTGTTCACGTATGATTTTCATATTCTGGTTTAGATTAATCATGAGTAAGACCTTTGTTTTTCTACCTGGCAAATGTTTCTAACTAATCAGAAACTGAAAATCTCATGTAGAAATAAGAATTCCATTATGAGTGACTAGAGCTATTAGGAAAAGTCATGTTCTCTCTTACCAACCAAGTGATGAAATAGGCATATTCCTGGAATTAATGGAATAACGTTTCCTTAAATCAAACATGTTTTAAGAATGTGTTTTTCATTTTGTTAGGCGCAGTGATTTGATTGAAAAGTGATTGATTCGCTCCACTGGATCAGCAACGTATCGTGTCCCTATGTCATTCATAAATATTCTCTCCATGAAGTGAGAGCTACGTTTTGAATAAACCGGTATGCCCTTTTCGACCTTGGAAGGCAAAAAAGAGTAATAGAAATTAATGAAGAAGAAATCTACGCCCGACATCCAAAAGCGAAGTACTTCGCTTGGGGCTATACAAAAACGTTGCTGCTTTTCCCATTGATCTGCATGTTTGTGTCGGTGATTTTCAACCGGAAGTCTAGATGCCTCGGAACAAGAACCAGAAGAAGAATTTCAGAAAGCAAAAACGAGTGTTTCCTTACCAAGAAGATTCTGTCTCGTCGAACCCTTTACAGCTAATCTTCTTTCCACAAGCTTCGTACAATCACGGGTGACTCAACGTCGGCCACAAGTCACCTGTACCTTCAAGCTTCGCTTCCTTCTACAGAAGAGAGCGTGTTGAAATTGTCCTGTGGCTAGAATGACTCGATAATGATTATGTGATACAGACCATATCTATTATTTCACACAGATTATCTATCCTTTTTCACTTGCTGTTATCTGGTAAGTGCACAAGGAGCTAATTAAGGTGAAGTATTTTGTCGATGCAGCACTTGTTTTATCAACCCTTGCCAACAACACGTACTTCAATTTGTGCCTCTCTCTCTCTCTTGGTGTGATTTACTTGTAATAAGTAGTATTTTACTCAGCACGAGCTACTTAATTCATGCCAACTGAGATTGGCTATCACGAACTTGAAATTATATCGCCAATATACCACGTAGAAAAACAAAATTTAATAAGCGACAGGTTAAGAGACTCGTCATTACTCTACCTCTTCAGTTAAGTTAAAGGCAAGTCATGCACGTAATGATCGAGAGATTTGCCATGAATGGTTTGTATGGCTTGGTCCCTTGATTATGTCTACAAAAAATGAACCCTAGTTAAAAGCTACGGCTCTCATGAGGGTTCCTATATGCTATTGAGTCTAGACTCTTCTTCTACTCATCCATCAAATTCTCAAGTCATGATGCTTTGCACCATTGCTAGATGTCCCAAATAAATGTTTATCCTGAACTTAGAATCTTACAGCATATACTTCTTTGTGCTCTCATCCCATCTATTACGTTTTTTTACAGAAGCCCAGCTCTTGAAACATTCAAAAGAGGAATCTGCCCCGCTTCACTTGACATTACCATCTCATCATCTTCACTATCTAATAGTTAATAAACTGAAGAATAGAAGAAAAAGGAGAAGATTCGTAGTTGATTGCGAACAAAGTAAGCCATAAACTTTATCCGGCGGGAGTTATGATTGACAGCTAGAAAAATGAAGAACGCCCCTACCTAACATCAATCTTTGTGGGTTCACTTTTGTCTTTTTGCAGCGCGCACACACTCAAAAAAGTTGCACGTACACTTAGAATTCATGCATGAATTCAGATGTGATAAGTTTCTGATATGTATCCCAAGGCAA